ACAGTGGATGAAAGCAATCACACTTGCCTAACTGATGTGACGACCGCACTGGCTCTTCTACTTGCTCGACATACGCTTCCAGACATAAACGGCTGACCATGCCATAGAAAGAAGGAAACTCACTCTAACCATCACCTGGAGTGTGCGAGATTTCCTAACCTGTGGGCATCTGTGCAAGACGCTCTGCGAAAGTGCTCCCCCGAAAATAAGCACCAACGTCAACCCTCACCAACCAATGCCCCCCTCCAGAAATTGGTGGCGACCTTCCGTCCAAATCCAAGTTGCAAAAGTGATGCAAGTCGAGTTGCAAAAGTGATGCAAGCGCGCGGGCCCGTGCAATACTGGTGCAACGGTGAAAACTACGCACCGATGCTCAACTCTCAAGACACAGATTCTTGTGACCACTGGATAAGCTTACTGTTCAGACACATTCGGCAGTGAAATAAAACGACACTTGAACTCCAAATTGGTCACATGTTCCTGCACGCCAGCGCAGATCCATCGGCCCCGTCCCACTGGCGAAACTTTTGGATGGCACATTCTTCTGGCGAAAAACCATGCGTGGTGGTTGGAAAGGGAAGTCTGCCGGAAAGTGAAAGTCGGATTCGACTGTTCCTGCAGCAAAGGAGTGCAAGTGGGCATCGTCATGCAGAAACCTGGCGGCAAGCCCAGGGAGGAAGGCAGAGGCGGCGGGGCTTCGCAGAAGGCTCAGACGGCCGGAGGCCTTCTGAGAAGCCCCACCTCCATTTGAGAAGGCCTGCCCGGCCTGCCCCGTTCTACTGACCCCCTGGGCGCGCAGGCGACAAAGGATCGTCCAGGTGCATAGTCACGAAGGTCACCCCGCACGTTTTCAATAGAACCAGCAAGCCACTCATTTTAATGCAAAACCTCCCCTACATCCATGCAACCTGGTCTGGCACATGTCGCATGCCCTGAAGCATCGGGGATCTCACAGACACGTGACATTCGTCTTGTAGCTGGCGGTGCGGCTCGGATTCGCCGACCCTGTCGGCGTGTGTGAACTTTTCCCGTTTGAGTCATCGTCGCCGTCGCCGTTCCCCCCCTTTTCCCTGGGCCCTCGTCCCAAAGAGATCCAGCCAGACGGAGATCAAACAACGCCGCTACTGTTTCGAAAGGATGCCCCTTTCTTTCGATCCCTTTCCTGGCGGGGAGGGGGGCGGGGTAGCGCGGGGGGGTCCTCGGGGGGGGATCCTGGGGGCGTCCCGGGGGAGGTGCCCCAGGCATCGTGATCTCCCTTCCAAGGGGCCCCCCCTTTGGACAAGGAGGATACGGGGGGGTGGTTTGCATGGGGACAGGACGAACTCAGGAACCCTGCCCCCGCCCTCCCCCGGTGGACAAGGAGACCACCATCCCCCCCACCTCCTGGACCCCCTCCCAGAGGCACCCTCCTCACTCCATGAGGGGTACTATAGTTTTGGCCATAAGACGTCAAGCTTTGGACACCCCCGACCCCCGTAGATTGTTAGCGACTGATTTTTGGTCATGGAGCGGTCCGAATTCGATGGGCTCGTACCCCGTCGCAATGTATATATATATATGTATAACTATACATAATAGCATTGCTACTACTATAAAGTGGTGTTGTAATTGCTCCGTCCTTTTTTTGTCAAACAAGCCCAGACAGTACTCCCGCTTGAACCCACTCACAACGCAATCACTCCGCACGAATCACTTGAGATTGTCAGTGCCATCTTCGTCATCGTCTCTTTCGTGCCAATGTCAGAGCGATGCTCCATTGTATTCGTTCTCATTTTGACGTGATGTGACCGTGTGGCCCTGGGAATCCTTACCCGATGCTGTCACTCTTACTTCGCTCGTCGGCCATCCCAGAGAGCTCGCGAAGGGTCACGCATCCGCATCAGGGCACTTCTGCATCCTAATCCGTCGTGCGCGGCACGCTGGACCAGCCATGCAATTCTCCGCCGATGGTAAACAATTCTGGTATCTGGAAAGTCTCATCTGCTGTTGCGGGGTGCTGAATGTTTTCCTACATACCTCCAAGAGGCCTCAGATCTGCTCCGAGGCGGCTCCACGTGGCCATGGAGACTCCCAAACAATCCCCCAAGACAATCGCCAACAGAGCCCAATAGGCTCCCAAGAGAGCCCCAAGAAGGGCTCCAGAGGGTCAGCGTCGTCGTCGCCGCCGCCGCCGCCGTCGTCGTCGTCGTCGTCGTCGTCGTCGTCGTCGTCGTCTTCAGGGTCGGCGGCACCGGCCGTCAAGCCTTCGAACTTCCTCCCCCCTCCTCCTCCCCGGCCTCCTCCGAGGTGGAGGCGGGATGATGTGGTGAGGCCGAAAAGGGGGATTCTGGGATTCTGGGCTGGCCTCGCGCGAGGGCCAGCACAGGAGCACGAGGCCCCCCAGGCAGCGAGGAAGGCAGGCGGCAACAGAGCAGCAGCGACGACGACGACGACAGCGGAGGCGGCGAAAACGACAAAACACGACGACTGTACGCCCGCAGCGGCGCGACCGCGACGACGACGACGGCGACAACGGCGACGACGACGACCGCGACGACGACGACGAAGACGACGACGATGGCGACGACGACGACCGCGACGACGACGACGACGACGACGAGGACGACGACGACGACGACGACGACGAAGGCGACGACGACGACCGCGACGACGACGACGACGACGACGAGGGCGGCAGAGGCCGTTCGGAGGAGAGGAAGGACCAGGAGCGCTCCGAGAGGCAGCCAGCCGTCCGGAGGCGTCCTGAGCAGGCGCAAGGAACGCCCAGCACAAACAGCCCCGAGATCGCGCGGCAGGTCCAGGGATACAGCCGACCCGTATCACAGGAGGAGGAGGAGAAGGAGGAGGACGAGGAGGAGAAGGAGGAGAAGGAGGAGGGGAGGGGGATTTTTGCAGTGCGCGTCTACAAGCCAAACATCCGAAGGGTTTGACACATAGGCTTTAAAGTCAAGGAGACTATAGTTCAATCTCGCCGTCTGGGTGAGGACCCCAATCCTTGCACAGCTTCTTCGGGGGGAGGCCTCGTTTGATCCTCTGCAGCCCCTCACGCTGGTAATTTGTGAGATTAGCTACGCCTTTGGCAACGGCGTCGCACGGCTCCAAAACAATCCTTGGAATCCTCTGCGACCAGCAGCCGCATTGGCCCCAGAAGCTGAAGGGACCTTTTACCCAACAGTCATGGGTATCGTGCACCTGCCTGCCCGCCAAGAAAAAGGGGCGCGGCGCTCGGGCAGGAGGTTCTGCTATGCCGAGGCGCTCCCAAAGACATTCGTCGACACAGTCATCGGTCAACTGGGAACGCTTGTCGTCGGCCTCGCGCCCGCGGCGGAGGTCCCCAGGGTCCTCCTCCACAGCACTTGTCGCAGTGGCTGCACAGGGAGAGCGGACTCTGCGAAAGAATCCTTTGGACTTTTTTTACACAAATACCACAGCCCTGGCACCTCCAGCCAAAAATGGTGGGCACAAATGCATGCGCAGCACTTTCGATCACTGCCACGCCGACCTTTGGTTTGAGTTTTGGCAAGCGCTTCGTGGGAGGAGCGCTCGTTTCACTTTGGATTACGTTCCGAGTCATCTGGCGGAAGATGAAGCCAAACTCAACAAACACCTTTTTTCTGCTAATCCAGATTTTCTTTTTATGAATTGCATTGCTGACGCCCTTGCCTCTCATTGAGGAGGGGAGGGGGAGTTGGAGGAGGAGGAGGAGGAGGAGGAGGAGGGGCGGAGGATCCTTTTGCTCGCTCGCAAACTTTTTAGGGGGCCCCGCGGCGAGTGGGCGACGCGACCCGTCGCCCTCGCCGCCCCAGCTCCGCGGGCCCTCGGCGCCCGAGCGCCGTGGGCATCTCGCTCAGCAGTGCCAGGCGCGGGCGCGGCGCCCGGTTCGCTCGCCGAGTCGCACGGGAGCGTCCGAGGCAGTGGGGCCGGGCGAGAGCGGGCGAAACACGACCTCACCCAGGCGCTGCGCAGTTTGTGGGTGAAGTGGCAGTGCTGTGTCGGCGCGGCGCATGCGTCGTCCCTGCCGCGCTCATCGGAGGCTCCGCCGCCCCCGCCCCTGCGCGACCCGCGTCGCCTTCCCTTCGCCAGGTCGTCGGATGCGGGGGCGCGCGCGAGCGCCTTCCGTTCGATAGGCGGGAGCGCGTTCAAGTGCCAGCATCAGGTTGCGCCTCAACTGATTCCTGCGTCATGGGAGGTTAGGGCGGACATGGGCGGGGCCCTTCGACTCGGCCGACCTGGCTAACTTGACTCCTCCTCCTCCTCCTCCTCCTCCTCCTCCCTCCTCCTCCTCCCTCCTCCTCCTCCTCCTCCTCCTCCTCCTCCTCCCTCCTCCCTCCCTCCTCCCTCCCTCCCTCCCTCCCTCCCTTCTCCGCCCGCTCGCCTGATCCCCCCCCCCCCATCCTCCCACCACCCCGTCCTCCCGCCGCCCGTCCTCCCGCCTCCCGTCCTCGCGCTCGCCTCCTCCCTCCTCCTCTGGAAGACGAAAACCCGGCATAAACCTAGACTTTTGAAGGTCCGCGCGGACTTCTTGGATCTGCGCTGGATCCCCCTCCCTGGCGCGCTGAGCGCGCCAGGGGCAGCGCCGGAGGCACCGCCAGGGTGGCCCCAGCGCAGATCCAAGAAATCCGAGCGGGGCGCCGCAAGTCTCTGTGGATGCAGCTGTTTCTTCTTCGATCCCGTCCTCCCGTCCTCCCGCCTCTCGCCGGGGGCGTCCACGAAGACGGCCGCAGGGAGAGGTGCTAAAGCACCTCCGCAATTGCCACCGCCCAGTGTCTTCCTTTAGGTCGAGCATGTCCTCCTACGGGCGGATGTTGGACGAAAAACCAAAAATAATAAAACAATATTCCAGAAGGGTCAAACAATGATCAAACAAATGGTCCCCAGACTATTTTTTGACTACTTTTGAAGATCCCCCCTGTAGAGGGACATGCCCGACTCAATGCTGGCGCGGCCCCGCGAGGAGAGCGCACCGCGCTGCAGGGGGGGGAGGGCCCAAGGCGCCGGGCCTTCGCGAGCCGCCCGCTCTGGGTGAGGCACTTGATCACGGTGTTGTAGGTCACGACGTCGGCCAGGCCACCCTCCACCGCCTCCCTGAAGATCCTGGAGCGGTGCGCGAGGACGCTCCCCGCTGCTCCCCCTCCTTGTCCCCGTCGTCCCCCTCCGTGCCCGTGCTCCTGCTCCCCCCCCCCCTCCCCCTGAAGATCCTCCCCGGTCGGGCGGGGGCCCAGGAGAGCGCTTCCCCTCCTTCTCTTCCTCCTCCTCCTCCTCCTCCTCCTCCTCCTCCTCCTCCTCCTCCTCATATTCCCTTCCCTCCCCTGCTCCTGCTCGTCCTCCATCTCCTGCGCCAGCTCCACCCTTCTCCCGCATCCTCCTCCGCATGCGCACACGCACTCCCCCACGTTCTTTTCCTCCATCGCCTGCCCCCCCTACTTGTCATCCTTCTCGAAGTTGGCCCACATTCCTTTCCTGGGGCGCGCGCTGCTGACCAGGACGAGGGAGGCGGTTGCAGCAGCGGAGACGAAGGGGCCCTGAGGGCACACCAGAAGACGGGAAGGGGGAGGGTGCCGGAGAAGCAGTCTCTCCCTCCCCCCTTCCCGACGGCGCTGCGGGACTTGACGCTTCCTCTTGCCGAATCAATCCGGTTCGATCCGATTCGATCCGACCCCACCTCCCGCTCCCCCTCCCCGTCCCCCTTCCCCTCCCCCTCCCCTCCTCCTCCTCCTCCTCCTCCTCCTCCTCCTCCTCCTCCTCCTCCTCCTCCTCCTCCTCCTCCTCCATCTCTTTTGCATATGAACGACTCCTCCCTGTCGCACCCCCAAGCGTGTCGGTAGGGAGGGCCTGGCGCTTCGCCCGAGACTCCCCCACCATTTCTGATCCGGAAGCCTGAAACTCACAATAGTTTCACGGATGGAGAGCGGCTCGCTTTCAAAATGTGGCTCTCGCCTCAGCCGCGCGCGCATCAGTCTCAAAAGTTGCGACAGCTTCAAGGATGGAGGGCGGCTGGTACTCAAACTGGTGCTCTCGCCTCAGCGCCGCGCGCGTCCGTTGTTGATGGCGACAGGCTGCCTGAAGGCCTAGACGCCCTCGGTCGAAGGCCGAGAAGAATAACAGGGAGTTAAAAAGAAACCGCCCCAGAGCAGCCCCGTGGTCGCCACGGGGCGGAATCGACTCCGAAAAGCTCCGGCAGGGCAGCTCGCAAACGAGGAGGAGACTGCGGCCGCCGCGCTTCCGCGGGACAGGGGGGGACATATCGACCTGGAATCGGCGATACATCGCCGATATATCGGCGATAGGCCTCCGACCGTGAATCCGCAGCTTTCTGAGCAGGTTGGGGCTATCGGGCCCCTGTCGGCGATGATGGGCCATTGGGGGGTCGACCCGTGTCCCCCTATGCCTATCCCCCCGATCGTTGCCCCCGACCACTACTCCCATCGTTCCCCTCAGGCTGGCCGCCACGCGGGGCGGTCCTGGGTGCGCCGCTGGGCCCCAGGGCACCCAGGGCGGGGCCGCCCAAGGGGCTCCCCTTCCGGGGCAGACGCGGGCACGGCCGCGGCCGCCCATGGGTTCCCGTGGACCCCTCCGTCTTCCCCAACAGAAGTGTGCGCGTGCGTGTGCGTGTGTGCGCGCGTGCGTGCGTGGCTGCATGCGTGCGCGAATGCGTTCGTGCATGCGTGCGTGCGTGCGTGCGTGCGTGCGTGCGTCGGTGTTTTTTTTTTTTTTTTGTGATTGTGTGTGCGCGTGCGTGTGCGTGTGTGCGTGTGTGTGTGTGTGTGTGAATGTATGTGCGTGTTTTTGTGCGTGTGTGTGCGTGCGTGTGCATGTGTGTGTGTGTGTGTTTGAATGTGCGTGCGTGTGTGTTTGCGTTTGTAATTGTGCGTGTTTGTGCGTGTGCGTGCGTGTGTACGTGTGTGTGTGACAATGTGCGTGAATGTGTGTGTGTGTGTGCGTGTGCGTGTGTGCGTGTGCGTGTGCGCGTGCGTGTGCAAATGCGCGCGCGTGTGTGTGTGTGTGTGCGTGCGTGTGCGTGTGCGTGCGTGTGTGTGTGTGTGTGTGTGTGTGTATGTGTGTGCGTTTGTGTGTGCGCGCGTGTGCGCGCGTGTGTGAGCGTGTGTGCGTGTGCGTGTGCGTGTGTGTGTGTGTGTCTGCGTGTGTGTGATTGCGTGCGTGTGTGTGTGTGTGTGGGTGTGCGTGTGTGTGTGTGTGCGTGTGTGTGCGTGTGTGTGTGTGGTGTGTGTGGTGTGTGCGTGCGCTTGTGCGTGTGCGCGCGCGTGTTCGTGCGTGCGTGCGTGCGTGCGTGTGTGTGTTGTGCGTGTGCGTGTGCACACGTGTGTGGTGTGTGTGCGTGAGTGTGTGTTTGTGTGTGTGCATGTGTTTTGAGTGTGTGTATGTGTGGTGCGCGTGCGCGCGTGCGTGCGCGTGTGTGTGTGTGCGCGTGTGCGCGTGTGCGTGTGTGCGTGTGCGTGTGTGTGTGTGTGTGGTGCGTGTGCGTGTGTGCGTGTGTGTGTGTGTTTGTGCGTGCGTGCGTGCGTGCGTGCATGCATGCGTGCATGCGTGCGTGCGTGCGTGCGTGTGTGCGTGTGTGTGTGTGTGTGTGCGTCTGTGTGCGTGTGTTTATGTGTGTGCGTCTATGTGTGTTTGCGTGCGTGTGTGTTTGTGTTTGTGCGTGTGTGTGTGTATGTGTGCGTGTGCGTGTGCGTGTGCGTGTGCGTGTGCGTGTGCGTGTGTGTTTGTGTTTGTGTTTGTGTGTGCGTGTGTGTGTGTGTGTGCGTGTGTGCGTGTGCGTGTGCGCGAGCGCGCGTGCTTGTGTGTGTGTGTGTGTTGTGTGTGTGCGTGTGTGCGTGTGTGTGTATGTGCGCGTGCGCGTGCGCGTGCGCGTTTGTGTGTGTGTGTTTCTGGTGATCGGACACTGCGGGGCGTCCGCGCATCGCCGCAGCCTTCGGGCCCGCAGGCCCTGCGCTGCGCTCTCGGGCGGCCAGGCCTACTGAGCCACGGCGGGGGGCCACTGAGCCTCCCCGCCCGCCGTGCCAGGGGACGCGCCCACCCCGGCACCCCAGTGTGGCGGATCCAGGGCCCACTGGGGACCACACCACACCCCGGGCCCCTAAGCACGACAGTGCCGAGGGGGGCACAAAAATGCGAGGCTGCTCCTCCGAGCCCAGGCCCCGCCAACGGCGAATGCGGGCCCAGGCGCCCCAAGGGACGGACCGCCCCTCAGGCCCCTCAGCCACGGCGGAAGCCGCGCCAAAGGGGGCAACAAACCTACCGCTGGGGGCTCCTCAGAGGCGCACCGCGGGCACAACTGCCTCGCGCGCCTCCTGGCCGCCTCATCCTCGCAGAATCCTCCACCGCTCGTTGCAGAATCCTCCACGGCTCGTTGCAGGGCCCCGCGCCGCTGCTCGAAGAGGGCCATATTGCCGTCGAACTGGGCCGCGGCTGGACGACGCTGGTCCACGGCCGCCCTCAGGCGCGCTTTGGCGTCGTCAACGGCGCCCGCCGCTCCGCATCGCAGCGCCACGGTCAGCTCCTGCGCACGGAGGGCAAGCATCTTGGCCAGCTCATCCATGTTGCTGGCCTGGATCCGCCGCTGGGCCTCGATCGACTCCTCCATCTGGGCGAGGACCGAGGGGAGGACGAAGACGTCGTCCGCCGCCTCCTCATTCCTCTGCTGCTGCCGGCGCCGCCTCTGCCGCCGGGTGGAGGGCGGGGGGGCTGGGCGGCGGGCTCCACGTCGCCGTCCTGCCCATGGGAGCCGCCGCCGCCGAGGCGGCCGTGGACCTCCTCCTTGTCCACGCCCGCGCTGCCGAGGCGGCCCTGCATCACGGGGCCCTCGTGCACCGTCGCGCTGACCTCACCGACATCCTGCTTCCACCAGCGAGGACCCGAGGCGAGGGGCGGCGGCGCCGCGGGCTCGGTGAGCCGCACCGCCTGCGCGAGGTCGAAGCGCCACCCTCGGGAGGGCCGCCACCGCAGGCGCACGAGGTGCCACTCTGCGCTGCTGGCACGGGCCCGGCCCCCGTACGAGGCGCAGCTGCGCCCTTCTCGGCGGCGGTCTGGCCGCGTTCCACGTCCTCGGAGAGGGGGGCCACCTTGACGGGGCCGTCGGTCGCCTGCATCTCGGCGCCGTGCACGTCCAAGCAACCGACGCGCATGGCCGTGCCCACCTGCAAGATGACCTGGCTGTCGCCCTCCGTCGCGCCTTCCTTGTCGTTCACCTGGCCCTCTGGGGTGCCGACGACCTGGTCGGTGCCCTTGCGCTCGTCCACGTCTGGCTCCCCGAACGGGGAGGGCGGAAACTCGCCCAGCACCGCGTCCTCCTCGAAGGGGCACTGGTGCTCCTCCTCTCCCGCGTCCTTGCGCGCCTCGGGGTCGTCCACGATGTGGCCCTGGGACGCCGCCTGCGTCTTTCGGGGCCCGCAACGCCCGCCACGCTGGGCGTGCTGCGGCCGCGCCAAGGCCTGCCGCAGGGCCTCGATGCCCTTGCCGAGGCCGACGTGCGCCCCGACGTTGCGCCTGGCGCGGGCTCCGCCGCATGGCGGGGCGCCGCGCACCTGCTGGCGCATGGCGGGCTGCATGGCCTGCCAGCGCATCGCAAGCTCGGCGCCCTCCTCGGAGACGACGCCTGCCAGCAGCGCCCACGTCGTGCGCAGCGCCGCAACCACGGCCGCCGCGACCGCCTGCCGCGACGCGCCGCCCGCCGCAGCGCCCTGAGCAGCGCCCTGGACGGCCATCGCCATGACCAGTCCCGCGCTCCCGTTCGACCGTAGGTCCATCGCCTGGACGCCCGCCGCCATCGCAGGGGCCGCACCGAGGGGAAAAGAGACAGAGCCGCTCTCTCCTACGAAAGGAGAGGCAAACCGCGCTCCTCGCCCGCCCTGGCGCCCAGGGCAGGCATGAGCCAAAATGGCTTGAGCCAAAGTGGTTCCGGACGTTCCTGTGTGTGTGTATGTGCGTGTGTGTGTGTGTGCGTGTGCGTGTGCGTGTGTGTGTGTGTGTGTGCGTGTGCGTGTGCGTGTGCGTGTGCGTGTGCGTGTGCGTGTGCGTGTGCGTGTGCGTGTGCGTGTGCGTGTGCGTGTGCGTGTGCGTGTGCGGGCGTGTGCGGTGCGTGTGTGTGCGTGTGCGTGTGCGCGTGCGTGTGCGTGTGCGTGTGGTGGGCGTGTGTGTGGGTGTGCGTGTGCGTGTGCGTGTGCGGGTGCGTGGTCGTGTGCGTGTGCGGAGCGTGTGCGTGTGCGTGTGCGTGTGTGTGTGTGAGTGTGTGTGTGTGTGTGTGTTTGGGTGTGTGTGTGTGGTGTGTTGTGTTGTTGTGTGTGGTGTGTGTGTGTGTGTGTGTGTGGTGTGTTGTGTGTGTGGTGGGGGTGGGGTGCGTGCGTCGTTGAGTGCGTGCGTGCGTGCGTGCGTGTGCGTGTGCGTGTGCGTGGCGTGTGCGTGTGCGTGTGCTGTGCGTGTGCGTGGCTGGTGTGCGTTGCGTGTGGTGCGTGTGTGCGGTGCGTGTGCGTGTGCGTGTGCGTGTGTGTTGTGTGTGCGTGTGAGTGTGGTGTGTGTGTGTGTGTGTCTGTGAGTGTGCGAGTGCGTGTGGTGTGCGTGTGGGTGTGGTGCGTGTGTGTGGGTGTGCGTGTGCGTGTCGTATGGCGTTGTGCGGTGCGTGTGCGAGTGCGTAGGTGCTCCCGCACGCCTAGTGGGTGCGTGCGTGCGAGCGTGCGCGTGCGTGTGTGGTGTTGTGTGTGTGTGGTGCGTGTGCGTGCGTGTGTGTGAGTGTGTGTGCCGTGTGTGTGTGTGTGCGTGTGTGTGTGTGTGCGTGTGTGTGAGTGTGTGTGTGCGTGTGTGTGTGTGTGTGTGTGTGTGTGCGTGTGTGTGTGTGCGCGCGTGTGTGTGCGCATTTGCGTGTACGTGCACGCGTGTGCGCGTGCGTGTGCGTGTGCGCGTGTGTGTGTGTGTGTGCGTGTGTGTGCGAGCGCGTGTGTGTGTGTGTGCGCATTTGCGTGTGCGTGCACGCGTGCGCGTGCGCGTGCGCGTTGCGTGCGTGTGCGTGTGCGTGTGCGTGTGTGTGTGTGTGTGTGTGTGTGTGTGTGTGCGTGTGTGTGTGTGTGCTTGTGTCTGCGTGTGTGTCTTTGTGCGTGCGTGTGTGCGTGTGTGTGTGTGCGTGTGTGAGAGTGTGTGTGTGTGCGTGCGTGCGTGCATGTGTGTGTGTGTGCGCGTGTGTGTTTGTGTGCTTGTGTGTACGTGTGTTTATGTCTGTGTGTGCTTGTGTGTTGGGAGTGCGTGTGTGTGTGTGTGTGTGCGTGTGTGCGTGTGTACGCGTGTGCGTGTGCGTGTGCATGTGCGCGTGCGCGTGTGTGTGTGTGTGCGTGTGTGTGTGTGGGGGTGGGGGTGTGCGGCATTGTCCAGTGGCTGCTCGGGTTCCTCTGGGCGTCTTAGCTCCTCCCCCACCCACTGGCCCTGCGTGCCGCACCTTCTGGCGGCCGTTTGCGCGTCTCTGGATTGGGCTTCTTCTGTGGGCGCCGATGTTGCAACCAAAATAGAACCTCTAACCCTTTGGGAGGGGACCTAAGCTAGGAGGGCCAACAAGCATTAGGGATAGGTGGTCTTTTCTGCAGATGCATCAGACTCAACCGCCCAGATCTATCATCCCGAATGCGAAGACGGGGACCTCAGTGAGGCCGCGTCTTCATCGTGTTATTAGGGATAGGGATTCTTGTGTGCTCGATGACCAATGACCTATGGCCTCCCCCTCCCCCGCTGGCTCGTCGTCGGCGGCGCGCCCAGGAGGGAAATGAGAGGGGGCAGGCCTTCTCAGGAGGCGGCGGGGCTTCGCAGAAACCCTCCGGCCTTCTGAGCAACCGCCCCTGTCTTCGGAGAAGGCCGTGACAATGTTTCGAGAGGGCGGAGGCCTTCCAGGCCTTCTGGGAAGGCCCGCTCCCTCTGCCTTGCCCGCTGGGCGCGCCACCGATGCCCTGTGTGTCGCACTTTCTGGTAGCAGCTTGGGTTCGAAAGGGGCCCGTCGTGCCGCACTTCCCCTTGGCCGTTTGGGCTCCTGCGGGCTCCACCCTGTGGCTTCCGCTCCTCGCACTGGCCACTCAGGCCGCACCCAACAGACTGCGCCGCGCACGATGTGTGAGGCCACCAATGCGCACACATGCGCCCGAGTCCCCCGAGGCCTTCGGGGGCCCCCAGGTGCACCCCAGGGCGCAAAGACTTAAAAGAGCACGAGAAGAAAGTCCATCCTCGCACCTCGACGAGGAAGACGACGACGACCAAAATGGCGGCGGCGGCGGCGACGGCGGCGGCCGGGATTGGGCAAGGAGCCACGGCTTGTCCTCACAGCCGCCGAGGGGTCGCCGCACTGGATGCAGGTGGCCAGGACGGCGTTGTATGTGCACCTTGCGTGCCGAGTCTCGCTTTCGGCCCGTGGGCGGCGTGGGCGGGTGCGTGCACGATGATGTGCGATGCGTGCTCGCCAGGCGCAATCTCGCCGTGCACCTCTTCGTGCTCGATCGTCCAGGGGTGAGAAGCTCTCTGCTCTGCTGACCTCCCGGGAACGTCTGTGACTTCGATGCCTTGAGAACAGAAGGGGGAATGGTTTGAGATATTCTCTGTGGGAAGAGGACAAGGAAGGAAGCAGGGGCCCATTAGATGCTGTGTGCCTCCGGGGATACGGACAGACATGCAAGGCCAGACGGGGCTTTCCTCGAGCGATCTGACGAGGAACCAACACTTATCAGGTGCCCATTGCATCTCTCGTCCTCGTCGTCATCGTCAGGTCGCCGCCGCATTGCGTCGCCGTGGTCGTCGCTGCCGCCGCCGCCGCCGTTCTCGTCGTCTTCGTCCTCATCCTGCCCCCTCCTGAGCTACGCCTGCGAAGAGAAGAGGAGCGGACACGAAGCGAAGGAGAGACAAGAGGGCAAGCGGGCACGACGCGAAGGGGGGAGAAGAGCAATCACAGTCCACGGGGCCTGGCACACCGCCCTAGCGCCAGCCTAGCTGCACAGATGCATGCTCAAACACAACGCCAAGAGCGATCGCTAGTACATCGCAGCGCAGAAAGCAAAAAGCAAATCAAGCAATTGCCCCGGGCTCGGCCATTACGGGAGGAATCCACCCCCGAAGCAAGTTTGTCCAGCGAACGTGGCCGAAATTATTTGCGCGAGCTCGCGCCGGGAGGGGGAAAAGAGGAGGAGACAAGAAAAAGCCAACAAGAAAGCCCCTCCTTATGCAAGTTACACCGGCGTTGATCGGAGTGACTGCCGCCTCTGAACGCTCGTGCTGAGGCACATGCGTAAACACAACATTAACATACGACAAGCGCGTGCACAACAGGTTTAGGAAGGGCAGAGAAGATCGGGAAAGTGGAGAAGCCCGCAAGGGCATAGAGGAGCGCACAACGGCAAGAGTTGCCAACACCCCCACCACACCACCAAAGCTCCCTCACTTACCTCAGCACGCCCCTCCCGTGCGTGACAGGTGCAGTCCTCGCCGAGGGTCTAAAATCTGCAGGGCCAATGTTAAGATGCACTGTGGGCGTGCGGGCCAAGATGCCCTAAGCAGGCTGAAAAAAAAAATAAAAAAAAAAAAAAAAAAGAAACAAAAGCAGGCTGAAAGCTTGGCGACCTCAGCACGGAAGACTGGTGACCTAAACTTGCGAGATTGGAGACTTAACTTTTTTATTAATTATGTATACTTCATCAAGCGAAGATTGGCGGCCTAAACTTTGTGGACTGGCGGCCGGACCTTCCTCCAGTCCAGCTGCACCGCTTCCTCAACACCGCCACCTCTCCCCCTCCACGATTTGTCCTCACCGAGATTCCGTGCAGCAGGTGTCAGGAAAGTGCGAAACGGGGCCCATGTATCTGTGCCCCCATTACTGTGATAATGGCTTGCCCCCTCCTCCTGCTCCTTCTCCTCCTCGTTCTCCTCCTCCTCCTCCTCCTCCTCCTCCTCCTCCTCCTCGTACCCCCTCCGCCTCCCACCCCCTGCTCCTTCTCCTCCTCCTCCTCCTCCTCCTCCTTCCCCCCCCTCCTCCTCATTCCTCCTCCTTCTCCTCCTCTTCTTCCTGCCCCCTCCTCCTCCTCTTCCTATCCCCTCCTCCTCCTCCTCGTACCCCCTCCTCCTCCCCTCTTTCTCCTCCTTCTCCTCCTCCACCTCATGAATGACTCCTCCCTGTCGCACCCCCGAGCCACTCGGAAGCGCGGGCCGGGCGTTTCGCCTACATAATTGCAACAGTTTCACGGATGGAAGGCGGGTCGCTTTCAAAATGTGGCTCTCGACTTAGAGCCGCGCACATCCGTCTTAAACAATGGCGAGAGCTTCAAGGATTGAGGGCAGGCCGTTTTCAAAATGTAGCTTTCGTCTGAGCGCCGCGCACATTCGTCTTGAAACCAATGCGAGCTTCACGGATGGAGGGCGGGTCGTTGTCAAAAAGTGGCTTTCGCCTGAGCACCGCGCACATTCGTCATTTAGAATTCGTGACAGATCTACGGATGGAGGGCGGTTCCTTTTCGAAATGTGGCTCTCGCCTTAGCGCCTCTCTTTTCGCTTTACAAATGCCACAGCAGACTCAAGGTGTCCCACGGCTCACTTCCATGCAATGGTTTTGTGGCAACATGTCGGGACGTCAGGACGCAACAGTTCAGATGACTCGCGGTGTGAAATGCCAGAAACTGTGTTCTGACACGGTTCAGGACCGTCAAGACGCACTAGTAACGGTGATCCACGGCGTTGATATCCCAGGAATGGTATTCTGACGCAGTTCAGGAATTTCAAGCAGTTATTTTCTAACGGGGTGCTTCTTTCGGCGAAAGAGAATCCGTGTATGGGGCCTATGAAGAGGGGGCTTGGAGGGAGGGTGAATTGCAACATCGATGATGGGTCTTGTGTTTACGCTGGTCCTCCTGCGCCTCCTCCTCTCTTCGACCCGCCTCCCTGAGAACACCCCTGGAAACCGTAAGGCTACTACCCCACATCCCAGGGGTGGTGTGGGCCATCTGATCAATCCAAAAGGAACACAGCATCAGCAGTTTTACTATCAACAGTGACGCTTTGTTGCCACAGTTGCAGAAGGTATGGCGCGAATGCGACGCGGCGCATGCCGGGCGCGCCCAATCAGGGGGGTCCATCCTACCTGCCACCTGCTTTACATTAATTAGGTTCGACATTTGTCATTTCAACATGGACGTTTAGGCGCGGCGCACATGTTTCGCTCGCCTATCCGTTGACGCGCGAGCGGGCGGAAGTGTCGTCCTCGCCCTGGCGCCGCGCAGGTCCAGTCTGGGGGCGGCGCACACTTTTCACTCGCAGAGTGTTGAGGTGCCGCGCGAGCGGGCGACTCGCCGCCGTCGCCCAGGCCCGCAGACTCGTCGTTCGGCCTGGCCAAGCTGATTCGTACCATGCGGCTGCCTGCTGTGCAAGCCTACACCTCCCCATTGCCTCGAGAGATGTGCCATGCACCAGCCGCATCAGCGAACCTCACTAAAGCACACATCCATCACCATCAATGATTCGCTGAAGAGCCGCACGTTCGTGGCGTCATCTTCCGGAAGGACTCCAGCGCCTTCAGCAAGCGCTTCTCAGAGCCGAGCTTCCTGAGCTGAGGGAGGATATTCGCAAACAGGAGGGGCGCACAGTGGATTACCAGTGTGCGTGATGTGCGAAAAACCAAAAGCTCTACCTTTCGGCCGCTTTTTCTGGGGGCCCCAGCTACCAGCCCGTACAACTTTGGCCACCAGATGGAGGGCCAGGAGCGAGGAGGATGTTTGGTATGACTCGGCGTGGCGACCGAACACACGCTCTTTGCGTGACGTGGGCCCCGGTTCTATCAACACGCGTTTCGTCGCGATTGGACGCCCAACATGGGTACGGAACAAATGAATACGACGCCCAATAACACATGATGTCTAAAACCGACAGCGGCCGCTGTTGGACAGTCGACCTCTTGTATCAAGTGGACGACGTTCGCGGCGACGCCGACAGCGATTCTTGGTCAAAATGGGGAGGAACTGCTGTCAACCTTTGCGCCCGTTCTTTCACTACTCGTTCTTGAGCAGGGACCGACCGTCCCGGCATTCCTATAGGCCTACCACGACATGTCCTAAGAACCCAAAAATGTTCTGAAAACAAACACCATGTTCTCAGAACATAAGCTCGATGTGTGAAACCAAAACAGTCCCCCCCGCCAGAGATGCTCTAAGAACATGCCGTCGAAACCACAAAAAGGTCCTTAGGACATTCTTCGGTGGGCCTATAGGCGAGCCAGGACGCTTCGCCACCGCTTGACATCCCCGCCCTCCAGATCCCCGGCACTCTGCGTCGTGGCCCCAGGGCCCGGCATGGGCCTCCGGAGGCCGAGCCTTGGGAGCAGGCCGGCCGCCGCGACTCTCGGGGGCGGCCAAGCGGGGGGCGCCCGAGAGGAGGGGGCGCAAATCGTGGCCGGCGGCATGTGCGCGGCCCTGGGGGAGCGCAAGGACCTCCTCCTCCTCCTCCTCCTCCTCCTCCTCCTTATCTTCCTCCTCGTCCTCCTCATCCTCCTCCTCCTCCATCCTCCTCCTCCTCCTCCTCCTCCTCCTCCTCCTCCAGGAACGTGATGACATGAGAAGAGGCGCCATGAAACCTGAGGCAGTATCATGGCCCCCGCCGTGACGTCCACCCGCCCCTAAGTCCTCACCCCCCTCTCTGCCGCCCCCGAGACGGGCCGCCGCGACGCTCTCGCGACGAGGGGGCCCGGGACGGCTCGTGGCGAGGGCGGGGGCCCAGCGTCGACCGGTCGCCACGCCATCCTCGGCGCCAGCCCAGGCGGCCCGCCACGCGGCAGCACCCTCTGAGTGATGGTCGATCCACTGGGTTCCAGGCCTGCGCGTGGGCGTCGTCAGCGCTGAGATTTTATGCTGTTCCCGTCGCACTGCGGGGCCGCATACCCGAAACCATGTCGGGCACCCAAAAAAGAGCATCGAAACAGCGTCGACCGAGTATCGCCTCCCAGGGCCCGACACGTGAAAACCCCCAGTTTCGGTATTCTCTTGGTGCCCGAAATTCTTTCTGGTTGTCAAGGCTAAAGCAGGTTGGAACATCATAAGCTAAGATTCCGTATTTGACCCTCGTCTGTGAAACCTTGCCCAGCGGCAGAAATATATATATATATATATATATGTGTGTGTGTGTGTGTCACTCGTTCCCCCAGGGTGTGCTTTTTGTTCCTGGAAGCTCCTCCTGTATTGCGTTTGGCCCACGGGCCCAACGAACACGCAGGAGATCGAGAGAGGGAGGAGGCAGAGCGTCGGGAGAGGACGTCCAACCATCCTGACCGCCAGCGAGACCTGCCGAACAGCCGCTCTGGAAGAAGGCTGGGCGACGGATGGGGGGGACAAGAACAAGGAGGATCCCTCCCCCCGCCCTCGCCCTCGCCCCCTTTGGGGGAAGCACTCCCCGGCACCCTCCCTTGCC